ATTTATGCTGTGCTGTAATGTGTACTGAAATGATTCTGTGAATGGACATATTGTAGTCCGACTGTGAAAAACTAGTTAGTAGATATTCTCACCTAAGTATTTTTATAAGATGACTTGTGAATGTTAGCTGCTATAGAAGGGTATATAAGCCCGTCAGATAGTTGAATAAAGCAGTTCTCAATTGTATAGTTATTTTAACGTAGAATCAAAGGCGTCTAAATTCTTGTGAAGTAGTTAAGGGATACTGAATCCCGGAGACTATAGTAATTTAGAGATTTGTTTTACGTTATCCTTGTCACGAAGCTGGTTTGTGACAAGAGCATGATACGTTAGGAAAGTTATTACAGAATTTGGAATCATAGGCAAGGCTCAACGACCTTTAGATTTGATTTGTCTAATCGACTTACAAACTCTTATATATCATCATCTTCTATCAAATCTCTTCATTTATGAAGGTATTAATTTATAAGTCGTGTCCAAAACTGTCAAATTGTATAGAATTTACGCGGTATAGAAAGCAAGAACTACTAAAAGAAAGGATATTGGTACTATAGAAATTATCATTCACTGTTTTTATATATTTTTAATCATTATATTCTTATTGCATCTTGCTATTGTAGGCCAATAATCGTAAGTTATTATTAAAAGTAATGTAATATTTAACAATAATTTAAGTACTAAAATTGACACAGCTACTAAAATCGATTCCGATCAATATATCAGGAGAAAACATAACCGATGGTGATGCATTGTATGAATATAAAATTAGACTATCGAAGCAAGTTGTTAACTAAACTACAATCAGTAAAAGAGAAAATATTTCCCTAGGTAAATACAATAGTTGATTTATTTCATTATTAATAATTCAATACATTCACTAATCTATTTACGAGCAAAGATTTAAATAATAGCCTCCAAATACATTCAGTACGATTTTACAAATTCATCAATAGATAAGCACGTATTTTTATCCTAGTATCTATGGATATCATTGAATTGATTAGATTCTTTACTCCGAAGAAGTCATTTTTTCGGCAGAGAGTTAATATCGCGGCTACTGCTTGCGAGAAATATCTTATTAAAATTACTTCATAATAGTACATATATATTGTTTTATATTACTTGCAATACTACATCTGGAGATTAGTGTTAATAAATATTCTTTATGATATTCTTTTAGTTGTCTCTGTCCAAGATAGATCCTAAAAGTTTATAATTCATCTAATTCATCCTTCTTTTTATCCGTTTCTATTAAATATTGTCAGACTTTCGTAGAAGAAAAATTTTTTTTTTGTGTACTGACTTGGATAATTATTGTATTGCCATCATCTTCATACTTATTACAAGATTTACAACAGCAGCACCATTTAGGCAAAGCGTCTCGTAATGCACTATTAAATATTAAATATATGATCGGATTTTGTATACAGCAAAGGACTGAAATCGCTAAGCCAACTGTAATCAACGAAGATAAAACTGGATGAACATTATGACGTAATTCTGCTATTGTCATTTTTTTGGCTGCAGCAGCTACCATAATAATAGGTACTGGAAAAGATGTTATCATATAGACTACAGAAGCAACTACAATCATTTTAATAGTAGATATTGTACGTCTTCGGTACACTTGGAAATTATCTCTATAGGAAGAAGCAGAAGAATCGAGATGGCTATTAACTACGGTTACCTTTAGACGTAAGATGATTTTTCTATAAGTTACGATCATAACTACTACAGGAAGACAAAAATTCGATATTAAAACAGCAACAAAATAGGGTAAATTATAATTATCGCCGTAATAGTAAATATCACAAGTGCCATCAGCAGTAACTTGTAGTAAATGGAGTTGAGGACTGTTGGTTGCAGCAGCATAAATCCAAATAAGTACTATTACTATTTTAATTCGTCTATTTCCTTTTAATGATGGCTTATAGATTTGATTATCTTGCATAATATAGTAACGATCGATTGCTAAAGCTGCTAAGCACAGAATAGAAACAGTAAAGCTCATACTTAATATAAATGTTGTACATTTACAAACAATATGGTGTAGCATAGTAACTTCGCCTTGGCGAACATTTGAAATGAATGTATAAAGAATTAAACCGAATAAGGTAATAATATCGGAAATACTGATATTAAAAATGAAGGCGTAGATGGAAGAGTTGAGTAATTTCTTCTTTATAATAGCATAACAGATAACAAAATTAAGACCGATGCCGATGAGAGAAATGATTACCGTAGAATACATCTGGGCTCCAAGATTACGAGGAAAAATTACAGTACAATTAAGGCAAGTATCATTTAACATCTCGCTACTATTGACTAACTCCAAATTAGAAGTGAAATTTAAGCCTGTCATAGCGCTGGGAATGAGGCGAACGACCACGGCAAACTTGTATTTCAATCACTAAAAGTATGAATAAAATATAATGCAATACATATGATTAAAATAAACAGTTGTCAGTAGCCCAATATATGGTATTCTATTTACGTAAATTATTAATGTCTTAGTGAATCATATTTTAGTTTAGATCACGTATGATAGAATGCTTGTAGACAGCAATAGATGTTAACAGCGACGCTATTTATTTAGTGCTGGTAAAGTATAGAAATCCAATAAATATTAATATGGTTTTTCAAGGATATCACTAGACTTTTACTCTAATTTATGAGCATATAAGCAGTTTACCGTAATTTGGATATTTCAAATAACAACGCAATATGATCTTTGATCTATAAATCTAAGCTAAGAAGGATTCAGTCGATTCCAGTTTAGTCTTCAGATCTAATAAATAATGTAAGCAATGTTACTATGTTACTGGACGTCAGATTAGATCAAGTTAATCTAAACGTCTATTCTAAATTACAATCCGCTATCGTTAATATAAAATAGACAAGAACTGAGATAGTTTAAATGTCGTAAGATAAGATGAAATCTCTTCAAGTATATTATTAAGATATCAATCCAATCAAAGCAATTGCGTAATTATAAGCTTCCTTAGAATACGATATAGTAAGCTCTATCTTAGAGAATTACATTATCATCCTACGAAATTATACGCGTAGAGAATAGTTTATCTTCTAGTTAGTATAATATACCTAGAAGAAATACACGATAATAGTTTACGGTATAGCTTGTATCAGACAATCAGGCCAAGAAATTCTTCATTCTAATTTAGTCCAAATATGCAATCAACTAAGAGTAATTACGCAAAGTTAAAGTTTGTAAAAATATTATGAGATAGCTTTTAATCTTGTATTATATAGTTAATCTAAAACAACGATTTGTCTATGTGAAATCAGCGATACTTATCATGTATTTGATGTAATATCTACAAAAGCAATTATTTATTTCTTGTTTATTATAAAAACAAAAATAATAAACCCAATTGATAAAAGGGGTTAACCGCTATAGTAAAGTAATTTTGACCTCGACAAAATATTAATTAATAAGTAGTTATAGCTACCCGTTGCGCTCATTCGAGTTGGCTTAAATCTAATCGAACGATTAGTGTAATAGTAATACATGAGTAACTAGGGATCTAGTTTGGACTATTATACAGTAGATTTGAGTCGCAGTTTGTAAGAAAACTTCTAGACCTCTTTTATGGTATGCTATAAATAATCTTTTGAGAAAAGGTAAATGATCTGATATTTGATCTACGTATAATTAAGAATAGACTTAAGATTCTATTGATTGAATGCGATCGATCAGGTGTAATCTCATGTAAACTCATTTGAATACATTAAATAAACTATGGCTATATATTTGTCACAACCCTCACTTGTGGCAAAGGAAAGTAAAGAACTCTAGTGTAGTTACTTAAAACTTGGGCTATTTCTCCCAGTACTTTCAGTTTCTATGAGAGAAGTATTTGAGAACTCGATTTCTCGGCTGATCTCCACAGACAACTGACTAATTATTACACTATTCTTCACGATATGAGTCTTACCGTTTCTTGAGCAATTACTTTCTTTATTCTACAAACACACGCGCTTAAATAGATTTCTACAGTGAATTCCAATATTAACGAGTGAGAATTCATGCTTTACAAGTTACATTAATTAGTATAATACCATTACTAAATATACATGTCGATATTCTCAGACTTAGATAGCTACAAGCTATCAGGTGTTAAGACGCTTAACCTTCGTCCATATACAGCTCCATTTTTAGAGATTAACACACCTTATAAACCTACAGTAAATTAACTGCTAACAACTTCTATTTTTATCTCACTTCTACCATCCTATTATCAGCTACAAGCGCATTAAAACATAGCACATAACCTTATCTTATCTATTCACAAGCATTCATTAATTTACAGTTACTTAATTAGTAACGGCGTACCGTGACAATATTAAGCTCGATTAATCAACTAACGTCAAGACACAGACGCTATTGATGATAAATCTATAGCAATGATTAGGATTTACGTAGATATAAAATGTTTAAAGTAATTATTTGATCAAATTTCATATAAATCACAATAGACTACAGCGTAGCATGAGTTCTATTATATCCCTGTTTAAAATATTCACCACATTAACTTCCATGACTTACTATTAAAAACTATTGTTAAAATACTGCTTTCGTAATAAAATTGCTTTGAGTAAATCAGCTGTGTAAGCGTACAGTATCTATTTGATCGAATAAAATAACGATGGCTATTGAATTCGACTTCTTTATTGTTCTAGAAGGGAATAGACGCATGTCATGATATATATTTAGAATAGCTGCGGTTATATTGCGTGAAGCATTTGAGACATTCGTATACTCGTATATCTATATTCGATCTTAATCTCAAATCCAGTAATATACAATTGCAATGGTTTGCATAGAATAAAATATGTTAGTGGACTGTGGCTAATAATGAAAGGGTGAAGTACGGTATTCATTCTAATACCAAGTACTGAGAGCCGGGACTGATAGCTGATAGACTGTGCCCAAATTTGTTAGTACTCTATTACAGCTAAAAATTTATTTAAGAAAAGTTGTTTAATAAATGTTAGTAATAGCGGCAGTTTCCGATCTGAAAAGCGCCATAAAACAATAGCTTTGTAAGGTATACCATTCCGTGCTATTTCTTGATACGATAAAGTAAAACAATATTTTAAATGTGATACGAAATTCGATTTTTATAATAAAAGGTCTGTTAAGCATTGGGTTAAGTAGTTGAATATTAAGGAGTTTGTTATTATTATTATTAACATTTCAACATTTTCCTATATTATTATTTCTAAAGAATCACTTTATTACGGTAAATGATATTGATATTATCACACTCTACCAGTGATTGCAGCCATACTTTAGACTTGATAATATAAGATTCCTTACGTTCTATGACATAATTTGCTGGAGTAAAGTTGGTGATAGATTTCTACAGATGATAAATGATAAACTATAGCTGCTAATGATTAAAAGTAGATCGAAGGTCAGTCATATAAAGAGAAATTGTTGAGAGTAGGCATATTTACTAAAAATTAATCCGTCTTAGACCATCCTGATTAAATCACAGCGAACACAGTTACAAAGAATAGTCTTACAGTTAACATTTATTTACTATGATCATTACACTGTAAGTCTAATATCTATATACTTGCATTAGAGTCTTAAGGAACTTGGAACCTGAAATCTAAGAAAGACGAAAAACTATGATACCGAAATATAGCATCTACTGATTACTTAATAAAACTTAACTGTTCTTCAATTTATCAATAGTATAACACTATTTCCTGACAGTGTAGGGAGAGAGAAAAGAGTAGTTCGTATAGGCTTTCATCTGCTTGATTGCTATCATGAGAATCAGAATTAGAAATTATTTAATTTGCTAAGTTTATAATCTATTAAAGTTTCTATTACGCACCCATGTATAAAAATCTCCTTTTAAGTTCAATTAGAATAAGACTGTTTTCTCAGCATACTTACGGATACTCTATTTTACTAAGTAGAACTAGAGACAATAGAATAATTCGCATTATGGAGTATTATGCTATTAATTCATTTGCTGAAACGGTTACATTATGGCGTAGCCTTATTATACATATAGAAATTTCTATAAATTATGCTTTATTAATCTTGAAGTAACTCATCTGATTTTTGGACATATATTATTTTTCTCAGATTATGCATGAACGTTACTCTCTATTTGTTATAATTATTTGACTATCAGTATGTCTTATAAATCACCTTCATTACGCTTGGTGTATATTATTGTAGGTAACTCCATAATAGTAAAAATTCTCGGAACTCTAATGATTGTACTATTATTACATTACTTTATTACACTTAATGAATTTATTTCATAATGAGCAAGTTTGTAATAGTAGATTTCTTCAACAATTATATTAATTATGCTATTGTAAGATTAATTTATTGCACTTAACGAATTTACTACATTATAGGTCAGAATATTATTTCAATATAAGGAGGCATTTAACAGTAAAATTTTTTAGAAACTGCAATAGTTATACTGTTACCGGATTATTCTTTAACTTAGTTTTTTTATTACAAACAATTACGAATAGAATAAGTGACCGACATATATCATTAGTTAAAGTGTAAAAATTACGATTAGTTTACATTGCAGGTATACTTCATTATATGAAAACGCATAATTAAGATCTAAGTGATCTTTTTTTCGTTTGAAGATTCTTTTTTTCTATACTATAGACATTATAAACGTATACCTATCTAAGATGGCATAAAGTAGTATAGTTTTAATACCAAAAATGAAAATTTTACAGTATAATTACTTTATATCAACTGGTATGAACGTTAGAAGTGCTATGCTTTAGAGAATTATATTTAAAGTAAAAGACATAAGGCACGGATGGTTTGATTATTGTAACAATGCTGCATTATTTTAATATATAATTTATTATTAAAATATTCAGCTACCGGAGTCATATAAATTATCCCTAAATAGTTTCGAGAATTTCTGAAACAGTGAATAAAATCAGAATACTTTTCTAAACAATTTAACATTTTATTTCAGCCATTATTCTATGCTGATGTAAAGATATTGCATTTGGTAGTCCTTTTATGAATTTTTTATGTGCAAGAAATTTATTTCATTCTCAAATTATCTAATTCTAACTACTCCTCTAGTCAGATCGATCGTATGAGTACAGTAATTTCCTATTTGATTTCTTTAATTGCCAGTAGTAACTCTACCTCTATTGCAATCACGATAAATTAGTGTCTCTTCTAGGGTATAACAATTACTAACAAGGGATAACAATTATAACCTTATTACTGAAACAACCTAAACATCCTATTCTAAAATTTTATTCAACATACTTTTATATTTATTTTAAAACTTATGAAAAATAGAATCGGGTAAACTCGCCGTTCAA